CTTTGTGTTTTTTTATATATATATATATATATATATATATATATATATATTTTTTTTTTTTTCCTATTTGTTATTGCTATATTTTGGTGTGAGCGGATTTCCCTATTACTTCCCTGTGCGATTTTACACAGCCTAACTGAGACTACTTTCACTGTAACGTATCTCATTGTAGAGCAGTCACCTCACGCTGGACCTGACGTAAACCATGAAGAAGAATACAACAGGAAGTAGTCGAAGGATGACGGTGTGACATGTTTTTTAACAACTCATCGCGTGAACAAACACATTCACGTGTGATTTTAACTGCATTTCTTATTTAACGGAAACAAACATGAGAGTTTGTCTTTGTCTGACATTAGTGGAATTTAGACGACGTTTTGTGCACATTTGTCGTGAAAACACATGAGAAATGACAATGTGGTGGTCATTGGGACAAGCAGCACACTGAAGTTTGATTGATTTTATATATAGCTATTCCGATATCAAATAATTTATCAACACTTCAGACTACAACAATTTATACTGCCTGACTGACCGATTATATTTATTCCTCTCCTACACATCAAATTAAACTGAACAGAATTATAATCTTTAGTTCCTCTGAGGTCAGAGGGCAGCAACTGAATACATCACAATAAGTCCCAAATGAATAACAGTGGTACTATTTCTTCCATTTAAAACCTTTGCACATAGATTGGGTGGAAAGTGGCCGTTTTGTTGCATCTTTGGACTTAATCAAACTATCAGGAAGCTGAACCTAAAGTTGAAGTCTCTGATGACGCTTCAGAGGTCAGAGTTCTGGGCCCGATAGTGGAGACATGGGATTGGCGTTGAGTTCAGAATCTAATCAGAATGGAGATTACCTCCAGTGACAACAAGCCTCATCTTTCCAGTGTGGGACACACACCATCACCTTCAACCACAAGCCGCTTGGCATTAGAGAACACATAGCAAGTTTTTCAAACTGAGCGACTAACTAGTTGTTTTTTTTCCTTCTTACCGGTTTAAAAGAATTCGTCTAAAAGTCGAGAGCATTCCTTTATGCTTTGAGCAGATGATGAAAATTTAAACAGTCGTCATAATGTTTGCTAACTGCTTTATTTTCAGCTGCTTATTGAACATTGACTGTATGAATCATTTAGAGATGAGGAAGGCATCCATTTTTCATAGGAAACCTTTTCTGGATCGTTGCTTAAGGGTTCTTCTGCACACACTTAACGATGTCGATACATTTACATATGAAAAATTAATGGTAAATATGAACAATGTCGTTGTTGATGCTTCTCATGCTTTTCCCACATGCAGGACTTCCTGGGCCAGGCTTTCTGTACATTGGGTGAAATAGTCGGCTCCCTGGGAAGTCGCCTGGAAAAACCACTGATGTAAGTAGCATCAAGCAAGCAATAATATCCAAAATGGTTTATGCTACCTTAAATATAGATATAGATATATAGATCAATATAGATCATAATTGAGCATACTTTACAATTTCTATTTTATTGGGTGTGAGTTAGAACTCGGCGATGTGGCTTAAAATTACAATCAGATTTTTTTTCATACTAGATTTCCGATTTTAATAGATTTAGTTTTTTTTTTTTTTGTTTCTTTTCAAAGAAAAGAAATTACAAATGAGAGAAAATATTTTAGAAAAAGTGGTTTTCATTTTAGTCATCCCTTCTGTGAGTTGTACGACGGAGACCAAGGCTGTATTATGAAAATGATATAGAATGAAGACTCAATTTTGCCTGAAGAAATGTCTTAAAGTTAAAAGAAAAAAGTTGGTTTAATGAGATTCGACGCTACCAGCTCTTTCGTGCTGACATCGCTCTGAAATATGGAAACAGATTTTCCAAAAGTTTAATCTTCAAAACCCCCAAAATTTGATTAATTGATAAAAATGGTTATGAATTGAAAACCAGCAGGAGATTTTTTTTTTTTTTTTTCATGACGAATTAGACACAAAGACAGTCGGGCATGAAACAGCCAAAATGAGATGAATAGAAAAACTACAGACTGTGAACATCTTTAGACAGCTAACTGCCTGTTGTTTAAAGAAACACTTCCCAAAGTGGAGTTAGCCGTGAGGATCTCGACTGAAGCCTCCAAAAGGTTATCAGAGATGTCTTTGAAATGTCTGATTTCCTTCCTGATTGCTGATTAACAAAGTTGTTATTAGCCCTTTAAGCCGGTTCATGACAGATTTCACACTGACTGCTCAGTGTGAGACGAGCAGGCGCTCGGTGAATGACTAATGTTCAGAAAACCTCTGCTGTCTCACATGCCACAGTAGAGTGAGCCTAAAATCAACTGTGTGTCTCTCCCACCTGAGACTGACACAGATTGACATCGTGACACTTTGTTGACTCCAGCTACTTCAGCAAAACAAACAAAACAAGAAGGAAATGTAGGCGTAAACTACTCAAAAGTCTAAAATATTTAACAGTCTGCTTTGGAAATGTTTCATGGGTAAAGAAAAAAAGAAAACCTCTCCATCCTATTAGGTAGACCTCCAAAATTTACACAATGCATTTAGTTAATTAGAATAAAGAAATAAAAAGTGCCCTTCTGAAAAATGTATATTATTATTTTTTAGTATATATACTATCATTTTTGTAATTTTGGATTAAAATTATACATAAATGGCAACTTCTTACATATCAAAATTAAAATTCCTTTTATTAAAGTGTCGAAGGTTCTGTAAATGTACTTGGAGAAACTGTGGGTCACATGACACACAGCACATTGTGTCATCAAGCCATATGCTTTGTTGGTGGCCAGATGTCACATTTCATATGTTTTCCACTTTTCAGTGTTTCCCTCTATTCAACACGACCCTTGTTATCTTAATTATCATCACAAGAAAGAAGAACTTTCTTCTTCTTTCTTGAAGAAGAAGAAAGTTACATACATAAAACACATTTTATGTATATTAACACATACATAAAGTGTATGTGTTAATACACATTTATAAAATGTATATGAACACATTTTATAAATGTGTTAATACGCCTCAGTTTGTCCTTATCAATAATCACAACATTACACTCAACTGCTCGTTTCTATTTTTGGATTCAAATTAACATCAGTATTGATGTTTTTATCCTGCTATTGTAATTCTGACATTTTCGTTCTGATTTACAATGAGAAATCATTTCAGTTTATAACATTCAGTTTGTTGATTTAAGGAACCATTTTACTCCACTTTTAGCCTTCTTACCATAACATCTTTGGTGACTTTCTAAACTCTTAAGAGTTTCATCTGTTGTCTTTTCAACATTTCGGCAAAGTTGATTGAAAACGTAGTCAAGGTATGATTATTCAATGTGAATAGGATATTATTTTCTTAATTGTGAAGAAGTTATTCTAAAGTATTGACTTTAGAAACTCTTTTTTTTGGTCAGTATACTCCCCGAGTGTCCATATCAATGCTGCACTAAACATAGCAATCAACATAAAAAATCTGATTAAAAAGTGGACCTTTCACACTTGAGTCGGATGAATCCTGAGTTGATTCATCAAAGTATCTATAAGGGTTTATTACACAGCTTTCTCAAATAGATGTCAGGGAATGATAAAAGTTTGATTTTTCAAACGTTTTGATGCCTGAATTGATTGGAACGACTCCGTTCTTGGACAATCTTCAAAATGGGAAAGACAACAGAACTGTAAATGCGGAGGATAAACTGCCCAACTGCTTAGTGTCTGAAAAGAGAATACTGAAGATCTAAAACTTCATTTTCTAAACTCTGGTAAATGATGTACATGTCATGTATTCTTATTGACAAAGTTGAAATACAAGTGTGCATAAGCAAGTTTTAGTTCATACTTTCTAATTGTATTCTTCCTGAGGTTGAACGCAACCAATCATCTATCAGTAGCTGCGTTCAAACTTTGTCTGTATTCCGCTAATGTAAAAAAAAACACAACCTCACAATTGTGCTGTTTCCATTCAATAAGAAAAGCAATTAAAATCACACTTGGAAAAAGTTTGTTCGGGCGATAAGTCATTAAAAAACATGCTGTGTCTTCCACTTCCTGTCATCTTCTTTGTGGTTTCCACCAGTAGTAACAGCCGGTTGTCGATCATGTGACTCGTGTGATACGAAGAAAGTGTTTCCTTTGTAGTTTTACGAAATAAATACATTTCAATGCAGTGAAAAATAAACCACCTCATTCTAATGCCAAGATGTTTTAGCGAAAAACTTGTTGTTTTTTTTTATTGGCGTGTTTCCAGTAAGAAAATTCATTTTCAAACTATCAAATTGTGAAATTCTATGGTCAGTGGAAATGCAGCCAGTGTCCTCCAGCGCCTTTCTTCGCTGGTTGGTGTCCACTATGATGTCAGCTTATGTGACGGAACAAGTGATTCAAGTCATCTTCATCCATTACTATTACATGCCCCTGTGTGTGTGTGTGTGTGTGTGTGTGTGTGTGTGTGTGTGTGTGTGTGTGTGTGTGTGTGGGTGTGTGTGTGTGTGTGTTGGAGGCCGAATCAATGAGTGCTTGCCACTGAATGGGCTTGCTGAAGAATGATGCAGAAGGAATGTGATGTAAGAATGTGTTTCCATTTCAGAGTTATGTAACCTCTGCCTGCAGTCATTCTCTGTATTTCTGATCTGTGTGTCTTCCTGCGGTGCTCAGTCTGAACACATGTATATGTTCTATTTTTAGCCTTTTTTCGTTGAGATATTTTTAGATCATCTCTTATTATTACGAATGCCTGATTGTCCGCAGAAAGCAACAAACAAAACAGAGAAGGCAATAACCTTACGTCACATTTTTGTTCATAAAGTCATTTTCAGAACATATTTCAACCAAGCAGCAACAAGAGAAGAATAAAGAAAGTTTTGTATTAGAAACTCCATTTTCTTAGTGGCCCATGCTGGAGTTTTTGTATAGTTTTAAGCATTTTACTGGCTCTAGTAACATTTATTTAATAGTGGTGAGACAGTAAAGTAGGTTGTGAGGAAGAGGGAAGACGTGGCAAAGGTCAACAGGTCAGGATTCGGTTGCTTAAGCAACCATGTGAGTTACACGCTCTACCTCTGCGCCACTGCACTGCCTCAGATTTTTAACGATATAGATAATGAGAGAAGGGTAAGTTTGGCTGGACTTAAACAAATGATGGATGAAGCTAATTATAAACAAAAGAAACAATGCTTTTGTTTCTTTTGGTGAAACAAAAGAAATTGCACCGATCTGACAGATGAATAACTTAAATAATAAAAAATCTATATGTTGTTGAGTTCATATATCAATTTTTTCAATAGTTTTGCAATAAAAAGGATGTTTTAAATTGAAAATGTTTATTTTTGGCATAATGTTTTTAATTAAAATTTGATTAACTTAAACATATTGATGAAGGTAAATATATTTATTGCTGAACTCATGTCAGTTCAATAATTTAGCTGCAAAAATGTAAATTAATTAATGACTCAGTTGAGTCCCACCATTGGTTTTAATCTGTCCTGTAATCTTTTCAAGTGTTTTTTCACTAGTATCCCTTGAAATGTTAGTCTCCAATGATTGCTGAATAAACACATTAAAAACAAAAACAGATGTAGGAGTTTCAGAAACCTTGTCCAGTGAAATTTGGCTCTTCTTCAGCTCCAGGACTTCTGCAAGGTAGCGGACAAGCTCTGTGTTTGCTTCTCCGTCTGTAGGTGGCGCTGCAATGGAGACGCCTACAGCCTGAGTGGTAACATCTGGAAGAGAGGCAGAATATAGTGTGAGCTCTGTTTTAGCAGCAACCGATCATATGTTGGTGCAACGTGAGGTCGACCTGTGATGCTGCTGTGTTTGGAGCCCGGCTTCGCGTGCACTGTGATGGACTTCCTTTGCAAAGATTCATATTCAAAAAGAGTAGGCTGCACTTTTTCACATTTTGTTCTCTCAGATCTTTTATCCCCCCACCAGAATTACAAAAGGCAAAGAGAGCGACTCTGTTCCTAATGGAACGTAATTGGCTCTAAATGTGACAGCACATGCATCCTGTGAGGAAATCAGTAAGTTATCGGCTTCTCTGTTTCCAGAGTAGTGAAGCATCGTAGTGTTTAAAAATAGATCTGGACTAAGACACAGGAGGGTGACATTCGCTTTCCACGCCGATACGCGTCCGCATTATGAGCACCTAAGAGCTTCCCCAATCTAAAAACCCATTTCGGTGATACTTGGGCGACCGTATGCTGGTGCTTTCAGGCCCACTCTGCGTTCAGGCGCCGGCCTCTCGTTCAGCTCTCCATCTTTCCAGGGACTTAACTCCTGTCTCCCTCTGCCTTCCCCACTTGGTCCGTCCTCTTCTGTTAGCTCTTCGGCCCGTTTTTTTTTTTCATCCACCCACTTACCGAACAATTTCTCCATGTTGTGCAGCAAATTAATTTCAATGACTCCTTTCCCGTTCATCAAAGGGAGTGTGGTTGTTGAGTCTCAGGTGACTGTGTGATTGAGGGGAATCGGAGGGGGGCTTTCAAAGCTTTGCTCCAATTTTCCTGCAATTTCTCTGTTTTATTGTTTTCTTTCTGAGTCATTATTTGTCAGATCTCAGCCAAATGAAATGATCTCTCTCCTCCCTCATTTAGTTTGTGGCAAACATCTGGTCTAGATTTAGTGGTCAGCCTCCCGTGTCTTAGTTTGCCTTTCCTGTCACTGTTACTGCTATATAAAAAACCTCATTTAAAATAAATAACACTTAGCCTGGTGGAGGGGCAAGTAAAGCCTGGTGGCCCACCAGTCTTATAATCCTCTGGGGGGAGACGGTGGATTAAATAAAAGTAGAGAAGTTCCAGGTTCCTTCTTCAGAGGTCTCTGTTGATTTATGTAGGATCTTAAGATTATGATTATATTTGCTGTTCAGCTAATTTCTCATTTATCTGTTAGATCTTGAATAAGGTCTGAACAAAACTATCGTGCGTGGGAGACAGAACCTACTCAAAAAAACAAACAAACATTTGTTTCAACTTGGTATCATAGCAACAAAACACGTGCAGCGAAGTCAGAAGTGCTGCATGCACACAAACCATTGACCAGTTGTATGGAAATAGAATCAATACGCCCACAGCGACTTGCTGTTTCCAATTAACATGGGAACGCTGCTTAATGTTGACAAGAAAGGAAGTAGTTGCAGGAGAAAGCTAAAGATTATTTGCACAAAAGTATTGAGACTGTCATTATGGTCTTCACTGTACTATACTAAAATTTTAAATCTTAGCACCAAGTAACTTTGTTCTATTTAATTACTAGTAAGCAATTCAGCACTGAATTAGGATAAAAACATGTTGTTTTCCTCTGTGGCACATAAGAACCTCAGATTTAGTTGAACAATAACAGCTGCTCTGTTCAATTTCAGCATTTCAAGCAATTTTGCCTCATATTTTCTCTGGCGATCCATTAGTGTAGGCACTGTTGGTTGCTACGGGTTTTGACGAGTTAAGGTTGACCGTTGTCAACCTGAGTGTTCAAAATAAACATAAAACCATTTCAAGAATCAAAGCTTCTTGAGCTTCCAACATTTGAAATGTTAAACATGTATAACATATGCCATAGATATTTTTTTAAAGTTCTTTTTCAGAACCTTTGAATATTAATTATTGCATAGGTTCAGTTCATCTGTGCCTGTTCTTCAGTCTTTCATAATATTGAGGAGATGGTTTCTCAATATGAACGTCTTTTGTTGTGTTTGAAGGTGTCGATTTGTGTGATATTTGTGTTTTTGTTTGACATCCAAACCACATATATCGTTATGATGTTCGTTTCTAGTTGATGTAGCGGTTGTTATTTTTTTCAGCATTTGTGTGAACAACCACTGGTGATCTATTGGGCTGAGGTCAGGTTCTCTCTGTCTGAAGTAGTGATGCACAATATATCGACATTAACATCGGTATCGGCCGATGTTGGTCATTTTTTAACATCGGTTCAATAAGTGAGCCGATATCAGTGTCTGATGTTTATTTGCATCGTCTTGCTGTTTTGGGTTTTTAGGGGAGGAGAGGGTTTGGTCATGTGGTATTTGTGTATTTGTGTGGTCATGTGACAGTGTCTACGTTTCCTTTACAAATGTGTGCAAACTTTGTCAATATTCCAATAATACAATTTCGCAGCTGCGATGATTCCGTTAAAGAAGAAACACAATTGAAATCACACGTGAATAAGTTTGTTCACGTGATACGTTATTAAAAAACATGCTGCGCCATCATCCTCCAACTACTTCCTGTTGTCTTCTTCCTCGTGGTTTCCACCAGTGACTCTTTTTCTAATGTCCAGTGGGAAAATTTGTTTTCTGCCAATACAGAAAAGCAGACATGAGACAACAGTGAATAAAAGGGGAAAAAAGACTTGGAGGCTTTCTAAACCCATGATTACCAGCGGGTGCCTGACCTCCTGGGTCATGGAGTAGAAACGGTGCGTTGAACTGCATCGCTACCCGGTGACCTTCTGAGCCCGCTGAAAAGGCAGCACAATGATGGCCACTGAAATACAGCATCAGGCTTATTTTAATTTAGCCCACATCGGTCTCTTTAAAATGTCTTCAAGGAGTCGGCCAGCTTGACTAATTGCCAAATTATTTCAGCAAAAAGTGCATCGCAGACAGGTTGAATAGTGTAAAGACGAGCATGTGAAAGACTCCATGGGCAATTACCTCGGCAAACAGCTCATTAATTCAAGCGTGTCAGCTTAGCATGGCAAATAACTTAAGACTCATCATTTTAAACCGTAATGTAAATCCTGTTTCTGAGTGGAATCTAACGTTATCTGCAGCCCTCAGGCTCTTAGTGTGTCAAATGGCTGATGTACAATTGTTGGGTTTTTACCAGACAAACTGTTTTGGTTTTATCTGGTATCTGACGGCTCCTATACCTTTACTTGTTCCCTGTCGAGGCTTGTTTAAAACTAGACTTATTATGACTTTCTATGAACAATTGAATTTAATTATTTATTTTCCCTTTGGGATCAATAAAGTGTTTTTGAATTTGAATTGGCATTTTCTCTACTCGTCTCTAAGCAACAGCAAAAAAAAAAAAAGTAATGAAGAGTATGTGTCTCTCTTCTCCACAGAGATTCTCAGCCATGTTGTCTCAGGTTTGCAGTTTTGCTAAACTTTCCATTTCTGGATCAGGTGTTGATTCCCGGGATGTTGCTGTAAACTTGTCCTTTGTCTCTATGATGCTCTTTGTTCACTAGTGTTCTTTAACAAACCCCAGAGGCCTTCACAAAACTGCAGGTCATCATATTACAAACATTCTTTACTAATTAGGTGACCTATCAAAGCAGTGAATTTTAATTAGACGTAACAAGGTAAAAGTTCTGAATACCAACGCACGCCGCAGTTTTTATTGGTAAAACTATTTTTAAAGGGTGTAATCTTCCTTCCATTAATAAGAAATAATACAACACATCAGAACGCATATTATAATTTATTGAATATGTCTGTAAAAATACGGTGCTGAAGGTTGTATGTCATATCTCGAAAACGTCGGATCCCATTCATTTCTTGTTGCTGGTCATGATTGGCTGCTGATAGTGATGTCATCATGGATGGGCTTTAATGGTATCGTATCATTTATCGCGATACATTTCTTATGATAAAAATCTTGGTTTATTATTGTCAATAAATTTCAAATTGATCATGTTTTTTAAAAAAAAAGAAAAAAGCTGTCCATATTGTCGAGGTTGTTAGTTTTACTATTCTCTCCACTGTCTGTCCAATTATAATAAATATACATTTGAAAATATGATTAAGTGGCATTACTGTGTGCACCTTAGTGATACAAATCACACTTCTTTATGACTGGTGTCCGGAAGAAGAATCTTTAGGAGCAGTATTTGTGTTTGTGGGGCTATTATTGTGCATCATGCAGTAACAGCCGTACAGTTATCACATTATATTTTTTTATTTTTATATTTTTTTTCTGTTTTCTCCAGTGGAATTCCAGGAAAGAAATGTGGCACCATCATCATTAGAGCAGAGGAGCTGAGCAACTGCAGGGTAAGAGTCAGACTTTAAGCCGCTGTCTCCCGTCCCCCGCCCGCTCTCGCTCTCATCTCTCTCTCCGCCGGCCTGTTCTTTTCTCTTCTAAACCAAAAAGTCTTAATTGGCTTACAGTGGGATTCTGTCAGGACTATCAAACAATTTTCACAAACAACTTCTTATGGATTTGGCTTCTGCTGGGATGAATCTGAATACTTTGGATCAGGTTGTGGATGAGTCGTTACCAGGTCAACGGTTTCACAGCAGTCGTCTATAAAGAAAATGAGTTTGAAACGTAAACAACATCGGGTAAAATCTTCTCTCTCTACAGAAGAAACTGGTTCATCGAGCCAAGTTATAAAGAGCCTGTTTCACAGAGTGGGATTGGAACAGAAGGAATCTAACCTATAAATTATATCTCATCACACTTTAAATGTGAAAAATGTCATTCTTGCAAAGGACTGGAATGTAATTTTGGTTGGTTATTGGGCTTGTGTTAACCAGATAATTTTTTTTATTGTTGACCATTTAAAAAAAAAAAAAGAGTTAGTAGAGAAGATGGCTGCCCGAAGATAGAATTTCAAAAAGTTTCTTAAAGAGACAGAGGCCCAATTTCATGCCATTAAATTGCAAAGCCAATTTTCTTTTAAGTCATATTTGATATTTATAGCATCTTTATAACAACTGAAGGTAACATAGTAACCTAATTGTGAAATAAAATGGTACTGTGTGCCTGGAAAGTCCATAATACTTCCCCTTTAAAACAGTGAATCTGGCATTTCACACTCCTGACCACTAGGTGCAAACATGCAGACGTTTTCAAGTTTACTTTACAGAGTCCCGGTAACTAAACCAGTCAAAAAAAAAAAAAAAGATTCCCATCAGAGCATCTGAGCATCGTTTCGTACTCAATTTATCTCGCTATCCGGGAGGTGTTATGAATTATACTGGTGTAGAAGAAGTGCAAGCTATAAGGGATTCCACTAGCTGAAGCCCTGTCCTCTCATTCAGAGTCTTGCCAACTTTTGATCACTTCAGTTGGAAAAATGTTCCCTGATTTCAAAACTTTTGCCAAAGTGGTGCTTGTGATCCCGGGTTTCCATTGTGGCAGCAGAGCGCGAATTGAACCTCCAGATCAACATCAAAACTTCCATGAGAAGACATCTGTTGGAGACAAAAGTTCAAAACCTCATGACAACTTTAGACATTTGATTGCACACAAGCAGGCGAGGAATTCAGGTCCATGCAGACCAGGTGGAAGTTGGGCGTGCTGTGCGTTCAGGCCACAGCAGGCCAATCATTCCTAATTTAAGTGCAATCGATGAATTTCATTGTTTCTATGCAAATACTACCACAGTCTGTTGTTTTTATCACTGCGGGGAAAGAGTTTCATGTATTCATCTGTTTGACATGTGATGCCATGATGTGGGTTTTCTGTGAAGCTTGTTCAGACTGAATGTTACTTAAAAAAAATGACAGACTATCAACTACGTCGTTATCATTTTAGAAATGGGCAGGTTAAAATACATTGTGGTGGGAATATTTGGCCACGTAGGTCAAAATGGCAGACAATGGAAAAAGTCTCTCTCGGCCTCTGGTTGCCATGACGCTTGACGGTGTCTAACTGCAGTAGATGCCCACCGATGAGATTCAAAGTCAGAAAAGAGGTGAAAGTTTTTAACGAACAGAGGAATGAAGAGAAATGCAATGTTTGATAATAATATTTCCATCACATAGTTTTGTAATATTGGAGTGAAGCCAAACTCAGTGGACAAGATGACAATCCATCTGCTTTGGCAGGTTGTCAACACATCCCAATGATCTAATGTCACCATGTGCTCTATTTTGTGTTTCGGGTCCCTCATTTACTTCCCTTTGAAAATATTTACTTTTTAACCAGTGTCTGGATATTTTCATCTTTAGTTGTTCTCTGTAACATGTGTTTCTATTTCTCCTGTTTAGGAGTCAGTGATGCTTCAGTTTTGTGGCAACAAGTTGGATAAGAAGGACTTCTTCGGCAAATCGGATCCTTTCCTCGTGTTTTACCGCAGCAACGAAGACGGGTCGTAAGTCCTTCAAGGCATTTTTTTCCTTTTTTTTTTTTTCCTCGACTTGGTGAACTGAGAGATCCAGCCATCTCGATGTGACGCATGTGAACAACAGAAAAACACAGCCGGCACGTAAAGATGACTTTAATGTACACGGAGGCCCGAGCGCGGCTGTTTTCATGCTCCAAAAGCTCCTATGCAGAGTGATTTGTCTCTGCGACGTTACGTAACGCTTGATGATGTATATGTGACATTCTTCCCCCTGATCCCCCCTTTTTTCATCACGAGGAGGCAGTAGATGAGGCGATAAAACAGGACAGAGTTGACAAGAAGAAAACAAAGAGGGGAGTGATGGATAAGATGGAATTAAGTGCAAAACTTTGTGCGGAGGTCTTTTTTTTTTCTGCCCCGCAGATGCTTGTTATTCAAGTCGACTTGAGCGTCTCACACTTAACACATTCTCTTTAGAGCAGCTGGGTTTGTACTGATGCGGCTTAAATGCCTCGCTGCAGGGTATAACAGCAGCACAGCGTGGTAACAAAGAGCCAGTCTAGATGCGACACAAAAAAAAAACAACAGTTATTGACAAAGAGCTGCATGCATTGCTGGGCTATTATTATGTTTTTCTTTTTTCTTCTTTTTTTTTGTCAACGTAACACTTCTATATGTCTCACAGCTACACCATCTGCCACAAAACAGAAGTGGTGAAGAATACCCTGGACCCGGTGTGGCAGGCTTTTAAAATTCCCGTCAGGGCGCTGTGCAACGGAGACTATGACAGGTACAACGCAGCCCACAGCAGGAACCCCGCAAGCCCTTGGCAACTGTTTACAGATAATTGCAGCGTCTTTAGGATTCCGAATTTTAGAACTGCTGAAGTATTCAGGCGCGGTGGTGATACGTGGCGACAGAGAGAGATTAATTAGCTTATGAAATCTCAGGAAACGTGTGAGGAAAAGTCGGAAAGCACAACGACGGGGTTCCTAATGTACACACACTGTGGAAAAAAGCTAATCTGTTAGGAAACTTAAGGTGTGTTCCAATTCATGTTAATATAGAGACATTCTTTAAAGGAAGATAAAGGAAGAAAAGTGAAATAAAATTACATTGTATAATAAACTCTTCCTCAGACCAGCAGTGAGCTCTTTGAACTGATAATAAATCTTAAGTGTTGAATTTGTTTTCTACCTTTTCTTTCTCTCTGCAGGAGCATTAAGGTGGAGGTTTATGACTGGGACAGAGACGGAGGGTGAGGGTCTATTTTATTATGTTATGACCTACGTGTTATTACATTTTGGCATGCCATTATTTAATTAAATCCATCCGACATTATTGGCTCCATCTCACCAATAATACCTGTGCTGAATATATCTACTTGAAGAAATACGAGGGGCTTACAGTCACAGAGAAATCATCTCACAGCTTCTTGTTTTATAGAGAAAGAGAAACACATGTTTAGTGTTAAAGGTGACTTTTTTTTGCACTTTCAAGTACATAGAGATGAATCTTAATTTCTGGAAAAATGACACCTTTTGTGTTCTTTAAAATATGTGTTTTTTTTTTTTTTAATCCCAACGAATTTAACTGGTAGAAAATATGTAAGTTGAGCCATCCAGACAAAGAGACATTAAACTAAATCCTCAACATTTCAGCTTTAAATTCTGCAGCATTCTTCGTCACTCAGTAGCTGCATTTCCATTAAATGCGCAATTTAACACTGAATTTGCTTGATGGAAACACGGCAATTTGCATCAAAACTCTTTCGATAAAAATGTTGGTGCTAGAATGAGATGGTTTTATTTTGCAAAAACTGCAATGGAAACACTTTATTCACATCACGAGTCACATGGTCAACAGCCGGATGTTGCCACTGATGGAAACCACAAAGAAGAAGATGACAGGAAGTGGTAGGAGGACCACAGCGTGGCATGTTTTTTTTTAATTATTTGTTGCGTGAACAAACGTATTAATATGTGATTTTAATTGTTTTTCTTATTTAATGGAAACAACACAATTGCAAAATTGTGTTTTTGTATTTTCTTTTTGCTTGTTTCGACATTCTGGAATATTGACAAAGTTTTGCGCACATTTGTAATGGAAACACAGCGACTGATTCACTAAGCTGCAGACAGAAACATGGCTATGATGTCAGATGAAAGTCGATTTAGTCGTTTAGTTTCACTCTCAGAGGTTAACCTAACACTACAAAATAAACTGCAGACTTGGTTCAAAGCCAGGCAAAATGAGCAAAAACCTCCCAGCATCAGCCTCCAGAAACTTCAAAGTGAATCCCAGGCTTCCTGGAGCTGAGAGGCAGTTGGTGCTTTAACTGGATCAAAAGGCGTTTTAAAAATATATTAGTTTAGAGCTGCACATTTATCAAACCACTTATAATTTTTCCTTTTGACAGACGTGTAGGTTTTCAGATTGAAATATCACATGTGGAAAAGAGTGTAATGATTTATTGTAGTCAATTTATTGAATGTTGTTGAAATTTGTCGTTTTATCAAAGGTGTGCAGACATTTTAGAGCCATAAAGCGATAAAGTCCACATTATTGGGTTGTGTTACTGACTCACCAACAACATTCAGATAATACTGAGAAGTTCTGTTTTTATAATAATGACTGGGGTTTTGTTCTCACTGGAGTTTATATTCTAGAGTCTTTTTTGCTCCAACAGGAAGTTAACCAGTTTCTAATGTTCTAACAACAGTTCCCTTCAAAAGCATTTGGGTTTTTTCAGTTCTTTCTAAACGAAAAGCAGAACTGGCATGAGTTAGTTGTTGGTAATTGTGAGTTTTTAAAAAATCGGCATCTTTCCATTAAGCTAATGTATTGTTTTTAGTTTCAATTTGCACAATTTTATGGTTAGTGGAAATGCAGCTGCTGTTGAACAGTGTTTGTTTTGCTTGGTGCATTTGCCAAAGACAAAAAAGATAAATCTTAAAACCGCTAAAATCAGACGCCACTCCACTTTTGTTCACATTTTGCGAAGAAGGAAGTTGCGCTCGGTGTCTTCTTCAAAGGTTTTATTGACGTTCTTGTCGTTCTTGGTACAGTGCCACCACAGGCGAGGGGTGTGAACAGATTTTTCAAAAGGGTTTGGTTTGTTTGACACAGCATAGTGTGTGTGCGAACCACAAACGCTGAAAAAGTAACAAATGTTGCAATTCTGTTCCAAAATCAAACCAAGTTTACCAAACTATCTGGTGTCAGAGTCATCTTGAGTTTTCTCCATCTTCTAATGATTCCCTTCCCTGCCTTGTGCAGATCTGATTTGTTCCTGTTGGTCTCCCCCGTGGTGGAGAAGTTAGAGTTTAATAAATTGAGTGTGTGGACAGATGTTTTCATATAAGTAATGAGTTCAAACTGGAGCAATTAATAGAGGTAATGAGGGAGGATAGAAGGACCTTAAAGACGGACTAACAGGGAGAGAGAACTTTCCTGGATGGTTGGTGATCAAATATGTGTTTCATAAAATAAAATACAAATCATATTAAAAATCATACATCCTGAAATTTTTATTCAGATTCTGTCTTTTACAGCTGAGGTGAACCTACTCTAATAACTACAGGACTCTCCTTGTAAGAGGGGAAACCTTAAACAATCTCCACCGTGTTTAAATATCTAAAAGAATACTCTCCCATAATTACATTCAGAGCAATAAAATATTCATAAACTGGAGCTGCTGCAAACAAAGGTGGATCTTTTCTGGTATTTATCTTACCGTCACACCGTGAGCAGGAGTGTAAAACAAGTAAAAAAAAGAAAGATAAATCTTACAAGCTTGCAGTTTGAGAAGTGAAAGGTTGGTATCTCGTTGTCTCCATAACAACCATTTATTTTAAGACTTACATATAAATCTTCATAAGAGGTGCCAATAATTGTGTACTGTATTGTTTTCCTTCAAAGCAGAGATTTTTTTCAGACATAATTTTCTGCCTTTCTAGATACTTTCTACACAAAGTATCTGACTGGATGAGCTCCCAATAACACCCGACTCTAATTTTAAACATCTTTCATTATCTCCATGAAATTAAAAAAACTGTCAACTAGCCTCATGATGACAGAGGCCACACAGCTTATCACTGATACTTCTGATTACTTCTCTAATCTTTTTATGATCCTGTATCTTACGGAAGACAATTAATGCCACTGAAAAAAAAAGTATTCTGACTTTAATCTTTTTTTCCTCTGAATTTTGACTTTTTCTCAAAATGTTTACGTTTCCTCAGAAGTCTAACTTTAATCCTCTGAGATCAAAAGTAAAAATATTGAGGGGGAAAAAAATCATACTCTTTTTTTTTAGTGGCCCTACTCTTCCGTATGAACATTTTGAAGTTAGAGTGAAACATGACCATATTTTTGCTCTGTTTTTTTTTTTTTTTAACAGACATGACTTCATCGGCGAGTTCAGCACCAGCTACAGAGAAATGTGCAGAAGCCAGTCACAGTTCCATGTCTATGAGGTGCTATTCTTCACACACACACACACACACGCACACACACACACATACACACATACAGGCTTTTGTCATAGACGTTGGAATTCATTCAGTCCCTTGATATGACCACACACTCAACCTAATTCCAATTAGAGACAAGGAAGAACTGGAAAGCACTTTATCTAACACTTTATCAAATAAAATAAAATAAAACACTTGCACGCACCAATAAGCCTGCTACATGTGCAGTGATAAAAGCTCTGCACTCTGCAGTGACTTTCAGTGTTGGACTGATCTGTTCTCACAGATGTTTGTTTGTTTTTTGTTTTTTTTTCCAAATATTTCATGTGAACGCAAGCAGACGAAGCCACAGCTGCAAACTTTTGTTTTCTTAGTTACTACAAAGATGAGTTCCTCCCGCGTGATTGACAGCGGCGGCTTCTGAATAACAATGCTGGTGGCCATTTCTATCTTTGCTTTTTACAGAAAGAAACCTTCACTAACATGTGCATTGTGAATAGTTTCCGCAGTAGATCCTCATAATGTCAGAGTATTTTTGACCCAAAAGGGCATATGAACATTTAACGCCTAAAAGCTGAGTTACAGCTCCACTCTGTACAGCTGGAGATATTGTAACCAATTACGATCGCTGGTTTTTGTAAAATTCTGACTTGCCTATAGTGATTTTTTTCATGTACTTGTTTTTCTGCTTTCTGCATCAACATTTTTTTTTTTTTTTAGGTAAAATAACACAACAAAAAACAAAAGCAGCCCAATTTTATGTCGCCGTTTCTCCCTGCATCACCAACATGATACAATCTATTAGGTATCTGTATATATAAGCCCAACAACCACAACAGAATAAAATACAGCAAGGGCCAACAACATGCGTCTCCGTAAATGCAAACAAAGCTCTTGCTTTTCCTTTTCTGAAAATAAATAAATAAATCACCTCTGTTGGTTAATGTCACTTCCACAAACAAAGAAATACAAAGTCCAAATGTACGTAATATATTCAGAGAAACAGCTTCTTTCCATTTGAAGTTCTAAATTGAACCTGTTCATCCAAAGCAAAAAGCCAGTCACTCATTTAGTCCCAGAGGCTTGCTTGCTAGCTAACCACATAGCTAGCTAGCTCTCTTGCTAGCTATTATGCTAGTTTCAGTCTAGCATGAAATTTCCCTCAGCATTTTAATCAAACTTGGTTTTAGTCATTCATTTTAAGACATAATGCTAACTTACCGTTTCATCCATGGTTTCTGTACAGTATGTCATATCGCTTTAGTCGTTTATTTTGTGAGTGCATAAACTGAAACGCTCCATCTGACTCACTTTTGTTCGGTTTGCCAAAAATATATATCCGCTCCCTCACGGTGAGCAGGGTGAATCTATTCAGCACCTTTTTTTCCAGACTAAAAAAGGTTTAATTAGGGGTAGTTTAAAAAACAACTCACTCTAAAGTTTTGTTTTGCTTGTGCTGACAAGAAGAAATATAGCAGCAATTATTCACTAATTAGCAGTCTGAGCATAAAAGCTCAAGGAGCCCTGCTGACTTTAGCTTATTGTCTTTTTTCTTTGATTTTATCCTCTGAATATCATGGTTAAAGAAACAAGTTAGATGTAAAAACATTTTTAAAAATATGCATAAAAATAATAGCTTTTTAAAGAGCAACATCTAAAGGAAATGTCAGATTTGTATATTTTCAGTCCATTTTCTGTTAATTACACATTTTGAAAATAAAGAGGTGAAGCTCTCATGATGTTAAGGTTTGATTTTTGGTTTGATTTTGAGTAGTCTTTGTTTCTGTTTAATCATTTTGTTTACTGATCTCAGAAGGTGTGCGCCATTTTGACTGTTGTATCAGTCTTGCCTTCTGTACGATATCACCAACAGATCAGTGAAAATGTTGTTCTAAACATTAAAAAAAGTTAGTGACTATAGAGAATATTATCAATTCCAGGCTGTGTAATAGTAGGCTGGTGGTCTCTGGAAAATACAATTTAATTACTGCCTACTTATGTTGCCTCAGTACTTTTCTTATTCTTTCTTTTCTTAGTAGTAAACTAAAAGAAAATGCTCTGACAGGTAGTCTTTGGTTCTTCTCTCCATTGAGACTCAAATATCCCAACATACTTCATCAAACGTCCTATATTGGTCGCCCTCTGGTTTATTGTTAAGGTTTTGTTTGGTTTTAATACTGTATTTTTTTTTTATTTATTTAATCTTTAAATGTATATGTTGTTAAATTAAACCTATTGCTAGTTTTCTATCTAGCGATAAAGCTAGATAGCCAGCTGGCTGGCTGGCTAGCTGGCTGGCTGGCTAGCTGGTGGTCACATTTTACAGTTCATGATCTGTTTTTGTGGTATAGACACACTCCTTTCTCTTTTACTGTAGGCTGGATCATATATCACTAAAACTGGTCCAGTAGATGGATGACCTTTGATAATTTGTCCATTTGTTCAGAATTACGTGAACAAAATGCTCTGACTTTTATGTACATATGTACTTTTATAGCCTAATAGAATCACTTGAATGTGAGTCTGGGCAATAGAAAGGCCGTTTTTTATTTCCTTATTATAATCTGTTGAATTACTGAAGTCAGTCTTCTGAGCCTTCCTCATGTCCTCGAGCGTTTACCTAACTGTTCCATTAGCTCTGCTAAAGCATAAACCACTGGAGACTAAGACTCAGTAAAGCTGCTTAGGAAGAACAACCTCCATCATTTTAATACAGAAGAGTAGGGCTGCCTTTTTTTTCTATATGCGTCAAGTTATATTCCATCAATTTTCTTTACTTTTCACAGTTCTTTTTTTCTCTGTCTCTCTCTCTCTCTCTGTGACTATATAGATAGAGTAAAACCTGATATTAAATGTGAGCTTGTTGAAATATATGTCCCTTGTGTGATGCTGTTTTATCTGGGTTCTTTTGGGAGCAGCATCCTGAGGCCTGTGGAAAAAGAATTTGTAAAGGAGGGGGGGTGGAAGGAGACTAAAGTAAATTCAGTAATTACTTTGCCTTTAATGTGGGGATAGAGATTGTCTATGGTAATGCTTATTAAAAAGGCATTTAGTTCAGCTTTGCTAAATAGTCTGGGTTAATTAAAACTTGAGGGGCCAGGAGTCACTCGAACTTTGACTGCTGCAGAACCATTAAGACTCAACAATTTTGTTTCAGGCTTTAAAAACAAGCCTATGTCTCCACAGGTGCTAAATCCAAAAAAGAAAGGGAAGAAGAAGAAGAAGTACCAAAACTCAGGAACGGTGAGTGGAAACTGTTTGACAAACAACCGCCAATCAGTATTTCAAAAACACATGTGAAAATATTACTGTAGAGATAACAATATACTATAATATACTCTATGATGTTAATTAGAAACGCAAAAACTTTTACCCAATTTTGTTGCTAAGAAAAACATTGAGATTATGTTATGTTATGTTAGTCTGCCTGCTGTGACATTAATTCAATATGTTAATGAGCTGTGTAAAAGAGCAATGACTATGAACAATATTTTACTATTTTTAAAAATGAATTGTTTTATTTATTTATTTATTTTTTTACAAATGAAACAGTCATCAGCATCTTACATTTGGGATTAGCATAGTTAGTGCAATTTGTGGTACAAAAACAACAGTATCAATGTCTATGGCTAACTTTTAGTCTTCTTCACTCAGTAAAGGGATCCACACTGAAGAGTGTTGCCTTTAGTTCAGCCTTTTTGTGCTTTGTGTGGTGCAATCACTGATTGGTGAAAGATTCGGTATTAAAATCAATCTCTCTAGCTATCTTGTTAGCTGGATATCTAGCTAGCTACCCAGCCAGCTATCTGTCATATTACATAGTTCATGCTCTATTTTGGTAAAAATGTTTCCTTATTTTTGTCTATGGAAATCATTACCTTCTAGTCATCAGCAGTTTTTTTGATGCATCTATAATTTTTCTGAAGGTTATATATTCCAAAATATTAACTGACATAATAATGGTATAGCTTCATTACAAAACAAAAATAACTTCTAACCTCATATGTGAATCAGATTTTTTTTTACAAAAACACAGCCTTATATGGTGAAAAATGTCAACATGCTCATTGAAATAGAGAGAGAAAGAAGACTTAGCTTATGGAAATCTCAAATGGAGAAAAAAGCAAATGAAGTCATTTGTTGTGCATATAATGCCACACTTGTAAATGGCCTGCAGCTAACAGCATTTTAATTATTGACTAATATACCAATCAACACTAATTAGTAATTAAAACTGAAGTGAATTGTTCAGCATGGTGTACCTCTGTCATTAGGGTTACACCTCGTTGTGTCTCTGCATATTCAGTTCATTTAATACATTTATTAAAATGTATTAAAATTTGGCAGCTCTCGAATTTTCACTAAACTGGAAGAATAGTAACTCATCGCTAATCTGCAGATCAAAACATGTAAGTATGAATTTAAGAGACTAATTGAAAGATTAGTCTCTTAATCTTTCAATTAAGAGAAAGATTAAGAGACTACTGTTTATACTGTCACCTTTATTCAAAGGTGACAGTATAAAAAATAATATAGTATTCTCTTGGTTGTAATTTTTTGCCATTTCATATTTTCATACCAGATAAGGAGGGCGGGAGGTTGTGGATTGCCTAGAATGTAAACAACAGGATTTTAAATTGAATTCTTAAAGAGACAGGAAGTCAGTGAAGTTGTTGTAAAATTGGAGTGATGTGATGAAATGAGGCCGTTTTGGTAATGATGCAAGCAGCAGAATATTGAACCAGTTGAAGTTTATGGATAGATTTACGAGGCAAACCAACCAAGAGAGAATTACAGAAACCAATTAGAGAAATGACCAGCAGTGGACCAGGATGGAAGTAGAGTGCAGGGAGAGGGATGGACGAAGTCGGTTAATATTACGGAAGCAGAAGTGTGCAGACCGGATAATATGAGAGTGAAAAGAGAGACTACTGTCAAGAATGACACCCAGACTTTTAACTTGAGGGGTTGGAGAGACCAGAGAACTGTCAAGTGTGACGGGAAAGTTGTTGACTTTAAATAGAGTAGAAACTCTGTTTTGTCAGCATTTAATTTGAGGAAATTTGATGAAAACCAGGATTTTATTTAATCTAAACAGGAAGTGAGGGAGGGAAGAATCTGGTAAAAAGTCGAAAACAACTGGACAGATTGATAATGTCGTAATGAATAGCTGTGTGGTATTAACACTGCTAAAAATTGATGGGAATACTTTAGGTTGTTTACTGGCGCATCTTGCCAGAAAAAAAAATCTTAAAAAGAGAAACTCCCTGCATCTGTTTCTCGCTTATTAGTTTTATTTATACAGCATTACAGAGCTCCACTTTGGCGCCACAACTTGTAAACACGCTTCCACTTTGATCCACTGGAGTGGTGAGAAAGCAATTAGTGAAGGCCCAAATCTACCTAAAACATCTGTTTGATCAGGCTTTTTAACAGCATCTATGTTGACAGCGAGTTTTTATATCCTCACCACATGGACAAACAATTTGACTGGAACAGCAATATGAAATCAATGACAGTCCAGAACGTAGAGCTTCTGTCATCATTTACCGTAATTATTGTTTAAATGAAAGAGAAGAGAGATCAAAATCTAAAAAAAGTCTTTATCTTTGAAATACTAAAATTAGCTTTATATGCCTGATCTTTCAGAGTCACATAAAGACAGTTACAAATACAGCCTTCTATCACCTGATTTTGACAATGACTTGACAAACTCTAATGGCTGTTGCTGGTTTTCATAACTGTGTTTACAATGTTTCTTTATGGTTTCACCATGTGAAGCACTTCTTTGTTGTTGTTGAAACATGTCATACAAATGAACTTGATGGATTGATTATAAAGTGAGACTTTCCGTCTTACTGCCCTGCTCTTCTGACTGGCAGGTGACCCTCCTGTCCTGTCTGGTGGACACTGAGCTGTCCTTCCTGGACTACATCAGAGGCGGGTAAGTTCCCACTAACTGGTATGAAGTCGTACAGGATTAGGCAGCAGCGATGCTCTCATCATTAAATCTTGTGTCACCCGCAGTTATTAGTGTAGACTCTGCAGCAGCTCAGCCGGGCAGATTACCGGCGGCGGCGTTATCTCCCGGCTCCAACATTAAGACAGACAGCTGCCGATAACCTGCTGCTTTAATTGCTCTCTGCCGCATGCTTTGAAAACATGCCGCGGCATAATCTGACATGATTGATGGTTCCATGTTTCTCCTTATGCCATTTATTTTCTTTTTTGTAGGACACAGATTAATTTCACGGTGGCAATTGATTTCACGGCATCAAACGGTGAGTGTTTCACTGCTTCGCTCTTATAATTTGCATCTCCTCAGTGTATCGAACGGATGAATGTTTGGCAGTTAAAAGATCAGATCTGTGCAAATTGAACTCTTAGGGGAGTTCCTAGTCAGTCAGCTTGGCTTAATGACTTAATTTAGCTGTAAAAAAATGAGGATTAAGAGTGTGAAATTTGACTGTTAGGAGTTTGTCATTTCAAACTTTGGAGTTTTACTCCAAAGTACTTTGCTTAGTCAGTGAATCACAGTGCTCGCATTTATTTATTTTATTTTATTTTTTTACAAATTACATTTCCAGCCTGTCAGGCTGCTTTTGGAAGCCCCAGCAGTAAACCAGCCCAGATGAGGAATGTCAAGAAGAAGACAGACAAACACAATTAGCTGTTCTGCACAGAAGACTGTCACAGATGATTGATTGACTCTTTCTGGCAAAACGTGATTTAGCGGATTAATACAGAGTTGAACAATTTCAGAGCTTACGTAACGGGAAGAAAAATGGATGAGTTTCTGTATTGTAATCGAATCAGACTCCCACCACGCTGTCTTTGAGGAGGCTGAATACTCGGAATAAACCGAACAATAACCACAACCAGGTTTTCCATGAGCGTAAACTAATAACGCTATGCTAGAATCTAAAATTGGTTTCCTTTTTTCTGTTTGCCATTTTTTTTGTACCACAAATGTCAATAACATGATGTAGAGAGTGGCAGAGGACTCACAATTGTACCTAGATACGAGTAGCACTACTTTTACATATTTTTTCCTGAGGGAAAAGGATCTTGTTGGGGAAAAAAAGCTTTTTGATTCTGGTAGAGGAGCCTTAAAATGGCACTATTATGTGTTTCCAGCCACATGGTACCATTTTATTACACAATGAAGTAACTGTTACCTTCAGTTGTTATAAAAATGCTTTTTCAATCATGACTTAAAAGAAGTTTGACTTTGTAATGTAACACCTTGAAAGTGGCCCTC